TGCCAGAAAATTATAGCATTAACGATATGGGCTGATAAGGCGCGCCAGAACGCTGAAGTCGTCGATTCCGTTGCCTGGCTCGCCTTGACACCAGAGCAACCATACTTACAAGTGTTATGTGGGGTGGGACGGGGACATTGTTGGTGGGTGCCAGAAACTGATAACGATTGATAAGGGCCGATAAGGCGCGCCAGAACGCTGAAGTCGTCGATTCCGTTGCCTGGCTCGCGTTGACACCAGAGCAACCATACTTACAAGTGTTATGTGGGGTGGGACGGGGACATTGTTGGTGGGTGCCAGAAACTGATAACGATTGATAAGGGCCGATAAGGCGCGCCAGAACGCTGAAGTCGTCGATTCCGTTGCCTGGCTCGCCTTGACACCAGAGCAACCATACTTACAAGTGTTATGTGGGTGGGACGGGGACATTGTTGGTGGGTGCCAGAAACTGATAACGATTGATAAGGGCCGATAAGGCGCGCCAGAACGCTGAAGTCGTCGATTCCGTTGCCTGGCTCGCGTTGACACCAGAGCAACCATACTTACAAGTGTTATGTGGGGTGGGACGGGGACATTGTTGGTGGGTGCCAGAAACTGATAACGATTGATAAGGGCCGATAAGGCGCGCCAGAACGCTGAAGTCGTCGATTCCGTTGCCTGGCTCGCGTTGACACCAGAGCAACCATACTTACAAGTGTTATGTGGGGTGGGACGGGGACATTGTTGGTGGGTGCCAGAAACTGATAACGATTGATAAGGGCCGATAAGGCGCGCCAGAACGCTGAAGTCGTCGATTCCGTTGCCTGGCTCGCGTTGACACCAGAGCAACCATACTTACAGTGTTATGTGGGGTGGGACGGGGACATTGTTGGTGGGTGCCAGAAACTGATAACGATTGATAAGGGCTGATAAGGCGCGTCAGAACGCAAAAGTCGTCAATTCCGTTACGCAGCGTTGACACTAGAGCGTTCCTACTTACAAATTGTAGTAAGTCGTAGTAGTACAAACAAAGGTACGTGCACATTATTTCGATATATATCCAGCTTACTTAATAGAATTCGACTGCATAAATTTTAAAAACAAGTCTTCAGCAAATGATAAGTTTCATTTCTGACTATTAAGAAAACCCAAACTCATTAAACCGCTAATCCTTTCGTGGTTCTAAATAATGATGAATGTAAATGAATGATAAGCATTAGCTCCTCACTTATGTAAATAGGCATATTTCGTTTTATTTTGAGACTGACAGCAATCCTATTCACCGCTAAATTATCTTAATTCAAGAAAAATGCTGGATGTTTACAGTTGTGAGATCAATATACCAGTTCAGCTCAGACGTTATCACGCGTATTCTCGATGAGCTTCAGTGAAACTGTGGAGGGTCTAACACAGTCAATAGTGAGATGGTTAATGGAGTATCTCATGCTGATATTCCATGGGTCCTCCAATTTCGCTAAAGCCTGCCGTGTGATGCGCGCGATAGCGGGCGAAGCAAAACTGGTATTTAAGCTGGTGCTGCGGATACTTATCATAAGGGTGTATCATTCTTCTCATTGGCATACAGCCGAGGTATAGCAGAGCATGAACAAGCAGTCAAGAAATCGATTGTCGGTCGTTGACATCCGTTTAATAGGTGTCCTCATATGCATCTGGCAGCACGTGCCGACAAGTAATTTCCACCCAAGCTGGGGACAACTGTTCGCTGACGTCAGCCATGTGATATCCATTGAATGAATCAGCAATTGAACCTATCCAATTCAAAATTGATTGCATCTACGTTGGCTCTGGAATAGTCTTTGGAAGTGGCCGGGCGGGTTCAAACATTGGGTTGGCGCATCGATCAGGAAGGTTACAATGTTGTGATCGGACGTACCCAACGGAGGTCCAATCGCAGCATCGGATCCTAAATCAGGGGATGTAAGTACGAGATCGAGTATTGAGTGACCGCAAGTGGGCTACTAACGAGCAGTACCTGATTTAGGACCCGATGCTGCGATTGGACCTCCGTTGGGCACGTAGGCCGATCACACATTGTCAACACTTTCCTGCTGGCAAGATGCGATTGCCAAGCCCAGACCACACCAAAATTTTCTGGAACGCTCGCTTCCGCTATCATGATAGACTATTGGCAGATGCCAACTCGCAAACTAAATGTTCGACAAGAAACAAGATGGGGAGAAGTTGAAGGTTAAACTCAACGGGAACCACTCGGAATCTGCGTTTAGGTACTATACAGAGCAGAGCGGGGACGATACAGGCATGGAGTGATTGATCAATTCGATATTCTAGGTTTAAAGGAGTAATGCGGCCCAACTGGAGTTCCACACGAAGCATGGCTATTACAGATATACGACGGAGTACACAACACAGTGTAGATAAGTTCGACAGAGATCAGATTTCTACGCCAGGGTATGAACTTTTGAATGAGGTCGATATTACAGGAGCAGCAAACGATCTAGTCCTGAGGCTAATTATGATAGGAATGACCCACTCCAACCCTGCAACAATTAACAGACCAAAAGCTCCTAAATCCACACCAACCGATGTCATACGATGAAGTCTGCGAGCAAGTTTTAGAAACCAGTCAATTCCTACCGGTTTGAAATCAACCTGACTTTGAAGTAGGATACATATTCCACCCCCTCTCCTTCCTATTCTGTCTTTTCTGACAATAAGATAGGCAATTCTGAAGTGATTTCACTGTTTTCGATTTTTGTGCTAGGCCATGTTTCAGTCACAAACGCAACCGTGGGTTTATAGATAGAAAGGAGATGATGGAATTCAGGAATCTTGTTAACCAAACTTCGTGAATTGAGCAGCAAACAAGAAAAACGTGGATTGACATGTTTTCTTTTCAGTTTTTTGATTGGCTGAGGATGCCAGGAATATCATACTTCTGACATAGATGTGAGCCTTCAACGTTGGCATTCTAGGTAAAAGTAATATGGACATCTATGAGGTGCAGAAAAACCTTTCACACTTTACTTTTTTCTGAATAATGAATGAAAGATTCGTCCCTAAAAGTTTTCAGTGCAGGTATAGCGGTGAGCCATCTTCAGCTTGGTAGGCATCCTATCGCCTAGGCGTTGGTAGTCCAACGTGGATTTCTTAGACCTACGAGCTCATACTTCATCTAGTCTGAGGGCTAATTTTGCAGCTTTTCCGGGCACCTTGTCTGAATCTTTGAATTCCTGACAGGTTTAAATACAAGAAGTCAAGCAATCATTCTTGACATTGTCATATGTCGATTTATTGGTAACATTTTTATTTCAGGGCAATCTATTTGATGCTACCGGAATTTTTGGGAAGAAAGAAGTGCGAAAGTACCGTCGTGCCTCACGGCCCCTGCTTGGTCAAATATGGCACCTATGAAGAGGCAGGGTTTTCATGAGAACTGGTGTTTTCATCACCATAATCTACTATTCTTCTATAGGTACTTCACTCAATTTCCTTTCTTGTCAGGATCAAGTAACATTCGTAGGAGTGCTGAATGAGGGCCTATGAAATGCGCTCTTCATCTGACGAAGGTATAAATGGTAAAGCATTTATCCTTGGTCAGTACCCTTTTGAGACGCTCTTCTTCAACTTCCATCTAGAATTGTAGTCGTATTTCGAGTGCTATTGGCCTATACAATGACTTGCGGGGCCAGCCGATGTACAAGTCAGTGTTTTTATCCTCCCAGACAAGTCTGGTACCAATTAACCGACCCCGGAGGGATGGAAGGCTTGGTTGGCCCGGGCGACTCACGACCCAGGATTTGATCCCCGGACCGCTCGCGTGGTTAGAGCAGCGCCACTCAACACTACACCACTTGCGCTCCAAAGCGGTCTACGCTATAATTTATAGTAAGGTGTAAACGATTGAATGTGTTATCAGAGGAATGGCGAAGCCCAGGGCTTTTGGCATTTGTATGGCACAATCCTCCCTGGCACGACAGGTAATTCAGGTAAAAGAGGTAATGGGGAGGCTAATAGCTCAAGAGGGCGATGCTGTATTTGCTGAATTTGGTGGTTCCGTGATTTTGTGATTTCGTCCACCACAAGTTCTCCTACATTCGAGATTGTCCATTTTCCCAAGAGCATGTAAAGATTTGTCTTCTGAGAGAAATGAAGAATCGGTACATACATACAGTACTACGTTTTCTTGCAATCACTGAACTGAATCTTTCAAGCAACATGGGAAAAGCGATTTTTTCGCATGAAATCACTTAAGGTACAATCTTTGAGGGTTCCATTTGCCTAGTTACAACAAGGTGACAAGTGGTACGAGCTACTCATCATATGAGTGGGTCGATACTAATAGAATATTTCATTAAAGGCAAACCCCGGGATTAAACTGGTGCTATTAGCGCTTCGTGGTGATAGCTTAGCTGCGGAACGACCTGAAAGTGGAAGGAAAGCAAGAGAAATCTTTGGAACGCTGAAACTAAGGCCTTAACCTTCAATAAGGTCGGATGTGGTACGATGGCGAGACAGGGCGGTCAAAGAAGACAAAATACGCGAGAGAGCACGTCGTTTGAGAGAGCACGCTGATCTCTACATCAATGCACGCTGATCTCACCACATCTCGCGGTGGGTGGGAAGCGTTGGAACGGGGTCGATGGTTGCAGGCCCGTAAGGATTAGCGCCCTAACCGCGCAATTTTTGCGACGAAGCTGGAGTGATCTAGGTAGGTACGGACCTTACAATTTCCCTCGCGGTATCCTCCTACTAGTCGGGCTAATCCCGGGGTTTGCCTTTAATGATAATATAAATAGTGCTCAACCTTCTAGTTGCAGCCTCTCTGCTTCTTTGTTAGTCATCAAGCAGAAACATTACATGTTTGATTTCATGAAATATGGCATTCGCAGCACGCATAGCAGGAAGAAAATACAGTGCAGAACTTCTATTGAATTCCTATCGAATTTTCATCAAATTCTTCATATTGCGATGGGTCAGCATTATATGTATGTCTCCGAACATGGCTCTGACTCAACGTCTGGGGCTAGCTTAATGTTCAATGAATTTTATTTCACCCTGGACTCACTTCCATGTCATTTTACAAGCCATGTAAGGTTGCTTGATGTTCCGTCTGAGCGCAGCTCCTATTTCTCCTGATAACACGACTAAATAGTTTGAAAAGGCATATTTGAAATTTAATATATCCGATCAAGTCTATCAATTTGGGAATGACTTTTTTGATCACTCCATAATCTTTATTACTCTCTTTATTCACTCAACGATCCCTAACATGATTTTGTCATCATTGTCATTTAGAGTTCGACAACAGCAGTTGTTCAATATGAGAGTCTTCGAATAAAATAAAAAGAGCAATAAAAATTGAACCGGAATCAAATATGTTTGGATTAATTCAAAGTAAACTTAAAAAATTCTCTTGGCTTTTACCCTTTTACCCCTTTTACCCCTTAACCTACCCAGTACCACTACCAATACCCTCTTCAATGTTCAGCAAATCCATACACATTACCGTAGAATCTATTCGATTTCAGGAGAAGAATGTACCTTTTTGTCGGTTCACTCATTCTACTCTCGCATTTGGTAGCGTGTTCTACGAATATGAATATGGTAAGTTTGTTCAGCAATTCTGTAAAGTGTTTGTGAATCACCAGTGGTAAATAGGAAAGCATATTTTGGGCTACCACGTTGGTAAACTCTTAGAATCTATTTGTTGTGGGTACCCGACAGGAAGCCCTTTTCACGACGAGAAGGCAAATGAGTTGAAGCGCGTACTGTAACAATTTCGCGTCAAGTTAAATAGAATGTACCATTGTACGTCCTACATCGCACATCACGCGCTGCAACTCGTCCGCTGACTCTGCCTTCTTGCCGCGCGACGGGTCCTCCTGTCGGGTACCCATTTATTGCCACGGTTACTATGTTAATGCTAGAACAGATAGGGTCATGAAACACATTAAAGCACGGGTCGCGATCGAATGAGAGTATTATTTTTTCGGAATTAGACAGGGAGTGCAAAGGGGAACATTAGTGGGAAAAAAGGACTATAAACAACACCATCTTCTTGTGGAGACGAGTCCACTAAGAGACACAGCGCTGCGAGGAGATGGAAAACGCGAGACTGCGCAGACACCACGTGTTCGCGATTGATAAGGATGAAGCGGTCGCAGCGTTCAAGCGAAGACATCAGCCTCCTTGTCGAGCACCGACAAGCTGCGAAAACACCACCAATCCAGTAATCAGAAGTTCAGCTACCTCAGTCAAGGAAATGGTTCCACTAAGTATTTAGTCGTGACCCGTGCCATTAACACAGAGGAGAGAAGTGTTTCAAATTGCAACTTCAACTCAACAACTACTTCATAGTTTATACCACGGTCAGGATCCCTTGTGCGGTAGCTGCCTGAATTCCTGCTATGGTAACTGTGGTGCAGGTGCTGTGGGCTGTGTTTGCCCACAAAAATGTGGTAATGTCTGTGGGAACTTTGGTGGAATCCCCAATGGAAATCTTGGTGGAAACATTGGCGGAAACCTCGGTGGAGGGCCAGTGGTAAGTTGTATGTATATGTGTGATGTACCTCAATTCCAGGGAAGAGATTCAGATGTCACCTTGTTCAGCAATCGCCATGTGAGGGCTGCTTGCAGTTCTGCAACGGAGGCTGTGGCATGGGAGGATGTGATTGTCAACAGAGATGTGGTAATGTCTGCGGAAACATCGGAGGAGGTCCAGCGGTAAGTCTGAATAGGCACTTCTGCTTTCTTTCAGTAAGAGGGGGCATTTTAGTGCAATTCGTACGGCTTACGGTAATTCCTATTTGCACAAGAAAACGTTCAATAGGAACTGCTAGGACTTATATTTTCCAATCTTTTGTGGGGGCTATCGCAAGATACGGGGCATCCTCTAAGATTCAACTTAGTGAGGAGGGGGAACTTGGGGAGAAAATAGAAGTTCCTCACACACCCTATGGTATCTCCTCCCACACCTCAGTCCCAATTCCAATAAAGGAGGTGTCTTACGAGGTTCTGAATGCATTGTCAACACAATACCCCTCATTGCAATATGTATTGTACGGTTTTTTGTGCTGGATGGCGCAAAGAAAAAATTGTGAGCTCGGGAACGAGGTTTCTCTTAAAGAAATAAGGGATCGGATTAGAGAGCCCCCCGTGAAGAGCGCAAATTCCTTTGTGCAACTGGGTCTTCGCATTTTATGTGAGGTTCTCACGCACCGCGGAGCTAGTTTTCATCACCTAGGCTTGGGCTAAAGTCCTCTTTGTCCTTGCCTGCCTAGGGTGCGTTGTACCAAAATGCCTCCTCTTACTGAACAAGGGCCGATCAAACATTTTATAGAGAACTCAAACGTAACGTCTTCCTCTTCAGCAATCGCCATGCGATAACTGTCTGCAGTCATGTTATGTCGGATGCGGATCAGGCAACTGCCCTTGCCCACAGATGTGCAGTGGTATTTGTGGAGGTGGTGCCGTAAGTGCTACAATATCGTTTCTGTATTTGATCTCTTAGGATAAAGGATAAAGCATTTGCCGTTGATCAATCCCTTTTTGGGATGCGGCACGCATTCTACTTCCATTTGTACATTCGTAGTGGCGTTTGAATGCGATGTGGCCTATACAATGACTTGCGGGGGCAGCCGATGTACAAGTCAGTGTTTTTATCCTCCCAGACAAGTCTGGTACCAATTAACCGACCCCGGAGGGATGGAAGGCTTGGTTGGCCCGGGCGACTCACGACCCAGGATTCGATCCCCGGACCGCGCACGTACACCACTTCCACCCAAATGCCTTCCTAGTCTCTTAAGGTGCCGAAAAATGTGACGCTTGGGATAATGTTCTGTTGTCATTATAATTATTGGCAATTAGTAAGGTTTTAGTCAATTCTAAATGTATTGCCATGCGCTTTCGAGTTGCAAAAGGGTGCATCTCTGCGATTGGGGTTCGCCCACCAGAAGTGTTTGTTCCATTGAGCCCATGTGCCCAGAAAGGCACTGATCGAAGATGCTCGATACACTGAAGAAATGATCGGACGACTAACTACTTTTAGTTGACGATGACCTACACTGCGTCCCATTATTATAACTCCACCTAAAAATTTCCCAAAATCTCAAAAATTGAAATGT